AAAAAAAGAGACTAGACATCATCTTTCAAGAAATTATCAAGGAAAATTTCCCTAATATTCTAGAACCAGAGGGTAAAATAGAAATGGAAAGAACCCACCAATCACCTCCTGAAAGAAATCTCAAAAGGAACACTGCTGGGAATATTATAGCCAAATTCCGGAGTTTTCCTAGGTCAAAGAGAAAATATTACAAGCAGTCAGGAAAAAAAAACAATTCAAGTATTGCAGAAACACTGTCAGAATACCACAAGACTTTAGCAGCTTCTACATTAAGGGATCAGAGGGCTTGATATATGATATTCTGGAGGTCAAAGAAGCTAGGATTAAAACTAAGAATCACCTACCCAGCAAAACTGAGGGTAATCAGTGAGGGGGATAAATTGACATTCAGTGATGTAGAGGAATTTAATGCATTCTTGAGAATCCAGAGCTAAATAGAAAAATTGACTTCAAATACAAGACTCAAGAGAAGCATGAAAAGGTAAGCAGGAAAGAGAAATCATAATCGACTTATTAAAGTTGAACTGTTTACATACCTACATGGAAAGTTGGTATTTGTAATTTATGAGACCTTTCTCACCATTAGGATAGTTGGAGGGACTACTGAATATGAAGGAGTATCTAAAAAATAAAATTAAGGGGTAAGAGAGGAATGTATTGGGAGGAGGAGAAAGGGAGAGGTAGAATGGGGTAAATTATCTCACATGAAGCAAGAAAAAGTTTTTACAGTGGAAGGGAAGAGGGGGGAGGTGAGAGGGAATGAGTGAATCTTATTCTCATGGATTTGTCTTAAGGAGGGAATAACATACACACTCAATTGGGTATGGAGATCTATCTTACCCTACAGGAAAGTAGGGGGGAAGAAAATGGAGGTTGGGGGGGTAATAGAAAGGAGGGCAGATTGGGGGAGAGGGTAATCAGAAGCAAACCCTTTTGAGAGGAGGGACAGGATCAAAGGAGATAATAGAAAAAAATGGGACAACAGGATAGGATGGAGGGAATTATAGTTAGTCTTTCACAACATGACTATCGTGGAAGTGTTTTGCATGACTACACATGTGTAGCATTTCAAATTGCTTCCCCTCTCAATGAGGGTGGGTGGGGAGGGAGGAAGGCAGAGAATTTGGAACTCAAAAGTTTTAAAAACAAATGTTGGAAATTGTTTTTGCATGCAACTGGGATATAAGATACACAGGCAATGGGGTATAGAAATCTATCTAACAGGAAAATAGAAGGGGAAGGGAATAAGTGGGTGGGGGGGTGACAGAAGAGAGGGCAGATTGGGGTTAGGGGTAATCAGAATGCACTGTCTTGGGGTGGAGGGAGGGGAGAGATGGGGAGAAAATTTGGAACTCAACATCTTGTGGAAGTGAATATTGACAATTAAATAAATAAATTGGGGGTGGGGTGGAGAATGCAGAGAAGATTCAGGGACTACTTGCACAGTACCTGGGACACTATCAGTGCTTAATGAATGCTTATTCACTCACCTGCAGTAGTGAAGTCAATTTCCTAATCCAGAACTTTGCTAAAGCAGTGAAATCACAGGTCCAGTCCTTATCTGTATCTCTGTATACAAGATAGAATATTTTTAGAAATTTATTTTATTTTTAATTTATAGAATAGAATATTAATACAAAAAAAAATCTGGGCAGTAGGTATTCTTCATGCACTTGATCTTTCTTTTAGTGATTAGAGATATCTTCCAGTAGATTCTAATGTTCTACAACTTTAATATGTGATAAAATTCACATAATAATTCCAGTGTTTGAACAGGAAGACACTTTGTTGTAAAACTATTTTCTACCAGATCTGATGTTTTTTCCATAATCATTTTACTAGGCCCAGTGAGATACTATATTTTCTATGTCTTTCACTTGTTAACAGTAAAAAAGTTCCCTTGTTAAATATCAATTGTAGAGAAGCCTGCTTGTTCCCTACTAATCCCATCATCAAGGATATCTTTGTGTATAGATTCTTATGAAGATTTATTTATAGATGGGCATCTAGAGTGGTAGTTATTGTGGCCCTTTGGTCACCTTTTTAAATATTAATAAGGTTAGAGTTTTGGTGATTTTGCCTTTAGTGTCTTTCCCTTCTTTATGTGCCTTGTATCCATCAGTGCCTTTACAAGTTTATAATATTCAGCCTGGATTTCCTTGGTATGTACTTGGTCCCTTGAGCAATTGCTATTGTCATTGTTCTCTTTAGTAACACTATTGCTTCCTCTATATACATGTCTGAGATTGTGATGTTAGCTTCTAAGTGTATTGGTTCCACGATAGAAAAAAATAGTCTACTAAAAATGTTTTTGCAAATCTTTTCCATTTTTCTTCAGTTTCTAGACTTTCCATTTTTGTCCTTAAATGCCTTTGGAATATTTAGTTAGTTATCTTGCCAGGCTTTTTCTAAACTGGTTTTAGCCTTCACTGCTTCTCTCTGTTTAATGAGAGTATCATACTCATCCATCATCCTTCCTAATAAGATTTTACAAACAAATTTATTTATTTATTTATTGTGAGGCAGTGGGGTGACTTGCCCAGAGTCACACATCTAGTAAGTGTGAAGTGTCTGAGGCCAGATTTGAACTCAGGTCTTCCTGAATCCAGGGCTGGTGCCCTATCCACTGTGCCATCTCACTGCCTCACAAATTTATGTTTTTAACCTATTACCTTTGACAGCCTTCTCTCTAGGTTTGGCAAGTAAGTCAGATATTTTACTGAGTAGGGAATTTTCTTTGTTCTCCTTGGGACAATTTAGCTTACACCAGTTAAATTTATGGATAAAATTAGTGTAGTTGATATAAATGTTGTTTCTGTTGTCCATTTATCACTTTTGATTTCACTTGTTAAAATAATTGAGGGACAAGTCATTTTGATTTTGCACCTTTTTTTATTATTATTGTTGTTTGTTATTCTAATGTTAGCTCAGATGAGTTAATAGTGTGGCTATACTCAGTTGACTCAGGGATTACTCCCACATCAATAATAAACCTTTTCCCATATGTTAAAATGTAATCTGTTTCATTCTTTATGGTGTTATTTGCTGCTTACCATATTAATTGCAGGAGTATTAATGATATTATGTGAGACTTCTGTGTAATATACCAGTTTTTGGCCTCCCCATTTCTTCCTGAACATTGCTTTGCCATGTGTTTCTTCCCCACCCTCACCTTTCCCCACTCCACTTTGCATTTAAGTCTCCAAGTATTAGAGCATATGTTGTTGATTTGATTTGGAAGGTCTTAGCAAGTTTTTCATAGAATTTCTCTGCTATCACATCCTCAGAAACTGGTTTTGGTACATAAGCTGAAATTTATTTAATGGTTTTCTTTTTGCAGATACTTTAATATTGCAATGTGTGATGACCACACATCCCATGAAATAATATTTCTTGTTGCTTCTGGACACACAGTGAAAGAAATCTAACCTATTTTTGAGGTTTTTTTTCCAGTTCTAGTGTGAACCTTTTGTTAACATGGAAAAAATGAGTTACTATATGTGGTATGATCATACTTTTCTGCTCAGAATTCTACAGCTACCTCCTTCTTCCCTACAGTCAAGTTCAAACTGCTTTGTCTTGGGTTTAAGGCCCTTTAAATTGATGTCACCTACCTTTCTGCTCCTATTTCATTTTCTTTCCTTCCCTACATATGGTCAGTGCTCCATTCAAACTAGATGGCAGTAAGAATAGAATGCTGAATTTGTCATCAGAAGGACCTGGCTTCAAATCCCATCACAATTATTAGCTATTCACCTTTATGTTCCTCAATTTCCTCATCTATAAAATGAGGATAATAGTAGCTGTATTACTTATGTCACAGGTTTGTTGTAAGGATCACATCCCCAAGGTATAGTAAAGTTTCTCTGTACACACTTTCTGCTTAAAACTTTTTGTTTAATTCAATTGAGCTATTATTCACTTAACTGGTATTTATTTGCATATTTACCTTCCAAATTGAGATATACTTTTTATGTAGGAGAGGATTAGTAGTAATTTTTTACATTCTTGTTTCAACAGAGATTAGGCAGAAACAGAATTTTTCCTCTTACCTAAATGCTTAATGTAATTTAATAATAGTCTTAAAGCTGGCATTATATAGGACTTCATTTGTGGGATATAATAAAAATAGTCATTTTATGGCTTACATGGAGCTCTTTATGGTTTATAAAGTGATTTATAACCATTCATTCATTTAAATTCAGCAAACATTTATTAAAATTTACTATGTGCAAGATGTCCTAGGTGCTGGAAATATAAGAAATGACCCAGTCCTTGCCCTGAAGGAGTTTACCTTCTGCTTGGTGAGGTAGGGCGTGACTACAGCCTGAACACAAACAGGTATATACAGCAACCCTTTGAGACGAAGTAGAGTGCAAGTATTAGTCTTGTTTAACATGGATATAGAGTCTCAGAGAAATTGTGACTCTCTTAAGATCACACAACTAAGGAGTGGTAAAGCCAGGATTCATGTTTCAAGTCCTGTAAATCCAATGCTTTTTCGACCATACCTGCTTGATAGATCAGTGTTTCATTTAAAAGATTTGAGAATTCTAAAAGAAAGTAATAATTGTTTTCTTTTATAACAGTTTAAAAATGTCAAAGAAAGATCAGAATGGATTAGGTAAGCTATATCTAGGGATAAAATTGTTTACAGGTATAAATTAGTCCATGTAACATATATATATATGTTTATATGTGTGTTTAGTAATTATAGATGTGATGGAGCTAATGTGGTTGTTTGTGTTCAACACTTTTTATAGATCTTCTATTATACCAGAATATATGTTTAGTGTTTCAGTTCCATGAAACTATATGCATAGTTCTTTCATTAAGTATCTTCAGCTTTGTGTATAAATCTTTCATCAAGTATCTTCATCCAGTAAACAAATCATTTTCCTTAGGAAGATTAAATCATTTTCCTGGAAGAAGCTTTTCTCTTTCATAGGCAGTTTAATTCATTAATAATGGCCTTAATTTAAAATGTGTTTTCTTTTTAGTCAGGCCTTGAAGTGAGCATCGACAAATCTGTGGCTGAAGGGGATATTGAAAAGGCAGAAGAACTCAGTAATAGGTTAGCTGCTCGAGAGGTAATTAAAATTTTTTTAAACTTATGTTTATTGTTAAAGTATTTTATGAGAAAATATAGTTAACATTTTTAGTACTGTCATTCAGCCTATAGTTATTTATGTTATTTTGAAATGTAGAATCATGATTCTATAGTTATTTTTTTAGATCAATTTTGGCTAAATCTTATTTCAGAAATGATTCTTTCCTCATAATCTCATAAGCAAGTAGATCTTTTTTCTCTGCATGACCAAAAGGTTAGCCTTCCTTTCCCATTTGCTTCTTTAACCCCATTTAACTTTCATTGTAGGGGGAAAAGCAGCTTGCTCTCTTTCTAAAGATATGATAGGCAAGGTCACAAATAGGGGTTGCTTACTTATCAGGAGTAAAGACCACATGTGATCTGGCAGCTTTCTGTATAACTCCTTTTCATTTTGTTAGTATTTAAAAAATATGCTTGCAAGCTAGCCAAATTTTTGTGTTTTATTTGTAGTACACTAAATGACTGGCTTACCCATTTGCCATTCTCTTAGACTATGTTTTGTTTTTGTTTTTGTTTTTTAATTTTTTTTCTTAGACTGTTTACGTGGTGTCCAGTGACTTGGTAAATTTAGTGAAAAAAAAATGTAGCCAAGCCATTGTTTGGCTTCCTACAAACTAGCATAGTGATTCACTTATAGAAAATCTTATACGCTACCTAACTGTTCATTATCTAAATGGAAGTCTGGTGAATGAAACTTTATTTAGTAAATATGACACTATGCTGTGCTTTAAAACCAACCTTGACTGTTAGCACTTTATTTTACTTTTGGTTTTGGAGCAGCTGCCCTGATTGGTGTTGGGCTCAGCAGAAATAGATACTTGAAGGTAATCTTAAAGTTTGAATTTTCTTTTCTCCTGTCCTTCATTGAATCACTATACTGTAAAGAAAGCCATGCAGGTTAATTTAGGAGAGTGAATAGAGACATAGAGAGTGTTACAGTTGTTTTAGGCAACTTCTTTTGGAGGAAGGGGCAGTATTTTTGGTATATAATCTCTTCAGATTTATCAACAACATTTTAAAAAACATTTATTTTTCTCCCTAAACCAGTAATGCTACGAAGATATGTAACTAGCTTGTTGCTGTGTTTTATCTTTTGAGGTGGCTATATCTTGGTTTCACTGGGTGCTGCATATTATTTGGATATAGTGATAATTTTATTAATCTCTTTTTAACCATTTTTATGTTTTCAAAAACAAAATGATTCATTGGTTTATTTTTTCCTTTTTTTCTTTCATTGGTTTATTCTTTGGGAAAATTATTTTAAATAGCATCTTGTACATTGTACATACCTATTAGACTTTCAGTAAATTTTAGGTAAAAGGAGAGACAGTGTCATGGTAGATAGAGGGCTATCCATGAATTCTGCTCTGATGGATACTTAGCTGTGTGACAGTTGACAAGTCACTTAACCTCTTAGTATCCAGGTAACTGCATAAATTATTGAATTAATAGAGGAGTTTCCTATGCCAGTGAAACCATAGGTCTAGAAAAAAAATTAGCTATTGATTTTGTAGTTTGTGTAGCAATTTGAGAAACACTACAAGGAACCTTCATTTTAAAAATTGGTTGTATTCTAAAAGTTCATTTATAGTTCAAACTGTTAGGAATTAAAATGTGGTTTTTAATAGGAAAAAAAAAACTGTAAATGTTGGGGTAAGGTATTCTGGTTAACTCTCAAAAGCTTGTATATGATTCCTGAACTCCACTCCATGGCAAGGAAGCAGGTAGGCTTCTGCAACTTGGTACCATAGAACCAGTTGCAAGGATTCTGTTTCTTCATCAGTAAGGAAGGGCTTGGGCAGAAGTGTTCATTAGCAGTAGAGAGTTTCAGATCCTTTCTTACATCATTTGTAAGCTAATTGGGGACTGCTTATACTTTAGATAACTTATCTCATTTGGATCAAGATTACAAGGGATCATCAAGAAGGCAAGTTTGGTTTGTAGAGTGTATGAATGGGGAGTAATGTGGAATCCAGCTGGAAAAGTAGGTTGGAGTCCCATTGCAAAGAACTTTAAATGCCAGACAGAAGAGGTTGTATTTTTATCCATTGGTAGTAGAGAACCACTGGAGCTTTTGGAGCAAAGGAATGACTTGGATTAACTTGTGCTTTAGAAATATTAAATTGTAGCATTCTGAAGGATAAATCAGAAAGGGGAAAGAGTGGAGTCACAGAAACCAGTTAGGCAAATGCAATAGTCTAGGCAAGAGGTTATGACAACTAGAACTAGGTTGGTGGCCATAGGAGTTGAGAGAATGGGCCGGGTCTGAGAAATGTGGAGAAATAATTACAAAGACTTGGCATCTAAAAGGATATAGTATGATTGAAGAGTTGATAAAGACTCTTAGATTGCAAACTAGGTGACTAGAAGAATGGTTGAATCATCAACTTAAATAGGTAAGTTAGGAAGATAGATGATTTTATGGAAAAGGGTAATGATTTCTATATTCAGGATGTTGAGTTTGAGATTGCATTGGGACATCCAATTGGAGATAACCAGTTATATATGCAGATTTGAAAAGACAGTTGAGGACTGAATATGTAAATTTGAGATTAATCTGCATAAAGATGGTATTTGGGGCCTGAGGAGATCCTTTAGAGGGAAAAAAGAGTGTAGGACAGAGGCATGGGGGTACATTCAAATGTGAGGGCAGAAACATAGATGATGATCTTGGAAGGAAAATTGAGAAGGATGAGTCAGACAAGATGAGACCCTGGACAGAGCAGTCATGAAAACGTAGGAAGGAAAGGGTGTCCAGTAGGAACATGATGGTCAATAGTGTCATATGCTGCAGAGAGGTCAAGAAGGATGCACCCTGGAAAAAAAGTTTATTAGTTTGGCATGAAGAGACTATTGAAGACCTTATGGAAGTCAGTTTAAGGGGTGAAGTTGGAAACCAGATGGCGTGAGGTTGAAAAGTGAGTGGAAGATGAGAAAGTGGAGTCATTGAGTATAAGCAGCACTTTATTGGAATTCAGCTGTGAAAGGGATCAAATAAAGAAAATAATCACCTCAAGGATGGTGAGGTTAAGTAAGGGTATTTTAAAGGATATGAGATGCTAACATGTTTGTAGGAGTAGCACGAAATAAGCCAGTTGACAAGGAAAGGTTGAAAATTGGGGGAGGAGAGAAGGGATGGTGGAAAAGATGAGCTCCTAGAGGAAACAAAAGGGAATGGTATCAGGGTCACATGTAGAGTGGTTGATATTGGCAAGGAGAAGTGCCACCTCATTCTCTCAGACGAGAACAAAGGAGATGATTAAGAGATGATAAGGCCAGGTTTTCTCTACATATTAGTTAGTTTTACTGAACTTTTCCCCCCTCTTTTTTATTCTTTATAATATGGAATGGCTTTGGGTGGGAGGGGGACCTTGATACCTTGGGAAATGCAGGTTATATAAGAACAAAAGATACCAATTTTTTTTTTTTTTTAAGGAAGGTTGTGACTGAGGTGTGGATTTGGGTATGGGAGGGAACTTGAGACAGATGGCCTAAATTTTTCAGTGAAAGTTGAAGGCGAGGTTCTCTGCTGAGGGGGAAGAGGGTGAGATAGAGAGGGAGTCAATGGGGAAGATGACTTTTGAGAAAAGTTTTTGAACAGCTGCTTTGGAGAGTGTTGAGGTCTGTCAGGGAAATGTAAAAGACTAGGGTAATGAAGGTCCAGTTGAGACTAGATAGCATAAATTTATAGTAGGGCCCATTTAGTAGTTGTGTGACTTTCTGCAGAGGTATTATGCAGCTTAGGACAGAGAAGGTGGATGGAATGCATTGAGGAATCCAAGGGTAGAGGCTAGTGACTCTTAACTAAAGGGAAAAGATTTTGAAGGGAGAGGGAAGCCAGAGCAGGAAGGGATGAAATGATAGATTACAGTGAGGATGGGAGTTTAGGTTTAGTAGGGATGATATTTAAAGAAAGAAGAAACAGGTGGTTATGGTAGATAAAAGACTTAGATACAAAAATGAAACCTGTCGCATGGTTGGTAATGAAAGCAATTATAAAAGCAGTGTATATGACCATCCCTGTGTATCAGTGAGGTGGAATGAAAGTTCAGATTGTTGGAGTTGAATAGTTTGATTAAGTAAATGCATTTTTGGGGCCATAAAATGTAAATTGAAATCCCCAAGTATAAGGACAAGCATTGGAATGGAGGAAGAATATGTTAGGCTTTGAGGGAACTACAAATATAAATAATACATAGTCCCTGTCTTTAATAGTGGCTAAGTGACACAGCAAATAAGAGTACTGACCCTGGAGTCAAGAAGACTTGTGTTCAAATATAGCCTCAGACACTTAGTAACTGTGAGGCCCTGGGCAAGTCACTTAACCTCTGTCTCAGTTTCCTCAACTGCAAAATAAAGATAACAACAACCACCTTGAAGAGCTATTCTGAGGATCACATGAGATAATATTTGTAAAGTGCTTAGCATAGTACTTGGCACAAAATAGATATACTATAAATAAATACTTATTCCCTTTCTCTTTTCCTTCCTTTCCCTTCCCAATTCAATAATACAGAAATCAATGTTAGATTTACCTTGGGTTCTTTATTTTACTTTAGGCAAATTTATATGATGGAAAATTAGTAATGCTGAAATATTTTAAAGGTTGTGAATGAAACAGTTTTTGGCATTAAATCCTGAATAATTTGGTTATATATTTTAAAAGAGGGTGTCCCAAAAGCCTTAGTGCAGTTTTAAGCTATATACCCTATATATGTCACAGAACATTTGTAAAGGAACTTAGAAATATTCTACCCCAGCCTGTATCTGAACAAGAGTTCCCTCTTCCACGTCCTTGACCTTGACAATTATGGTCACACAGCTTCTGCTTGCAACACTCTAATGAAGGATAGCATACTAGCTCCCAAGACAATCCATTCCAATTTGGGGCAGTTTTAATTATTTATAAGCTTTTTTTACATCAGGTCTAAAGATCTGCCTCTCTGTAGCTTGCAACCAACTCTCCATTTACCTGCTTCT